AGCACTGCCACCCCTCTCACTCACGAGAGCTTCCTTGGCAACATAGCTATTTCGCCCTCTCTTCCTTCCATGTACCCATCCAACATTAATGAAACCACTTTCCAGTACTCAGTGTCTTCCTCCTCCTCCTCACCCACTCTGGACTTTGTCCTTGACAGTGGGGCCACTGAGACCGCCCTCAAAGACGCTGGTACACTCACACCCCTCTCCCCTCCCACTCAAGTTCACGGTGCTGACAGCAGCTTCACCATCCCATGCACACACCTCTCCACTCTCCCCTGTTCACTCTTCCCCTCTGGCAAGGTAACTGGTCTCCACATCCCCACTCTCCGAAACAACCTCCTCTCCCACCGTGAAATCCAAGGTGCAGGTATCACTGCCGTCTATCCTGGTAATGCCACCTACTGTGACCTTTACCACACTGCCTCCGGCCGCTTCCTCCTCCGCATACCCCTCTGCCCTCGCACTCGCCTCTACACTCTCCGCACTCCGTGGCCATCCTCCTGCCATGTTACCACTCGTGCGGGTACCTCCACCAGCCCTCCCCATCTCCCTCCCTCTCCTCCCACTCCGTCTCCTCCCCACTCCTCCATCCCTTCCTCACTCATTCCAATCCCCTCCACCTCCGACCATCTCTCCCACCCCGCTGTTCTCCTACATCACCGACTCGGCCATCCGAATTTTGCCGCTCTCCGCACTGCCGTCACCTCACGACTTCTTCACAGCCTCCCTCCAACTCTTCCTCCCCTTCCCTCCTCCCCAGCCCCCCCATGCCCCTCCTGCATCCACGGCAAACTCAAACAATCTCCTCACCACAGCCACCCATCCTTTGCTCCTGCACCCATTGACCTTGTCCATATGGACCTCTGGGGGCCCTCTCCCACCCGCTCACGCCAAGGCCATCGCTACATGTTGGTTCTTGTTGACGATCACAGCCGCTACTCCTCCATTTTCCTCCTCCACACCAAAGACCAGGCGCCGACCATTATCATTAACTGGGCAGAGCAATGCCGCACCCACTTCAAACGTCCCATCGGCCGCCTCCACTCTGATGGGGGAGGCGAATTCCTCAACCGCACTCTCTCTCACTACTGCACCACCCATGGCATCCAACAGACCCACACTCTTCCCCACTCCCCACAGCAGAACGGCGTTGCAGAAAGCCGCATTCGCGAAATCACTAAGATCGCCCGCTGTCTCCTTGCTCACGCCTCCACCCCTCCCTCTCTCTGGGGCTATGCCCTCCTCCATGCTGCCCTCCTCCTCAACCTTCACTCCCATCCCCAACACACTGCCGCTACCCCCACGGAGCTCTGGTCAGGAACCAAACCTGACGCTGCCGGTCTCCGTGTCTGGGGTTGCAAGGCATATGTGCTTATTCCTCCACCCGACCGCACCCAAGGCAAGCTCGCTCCTCGCGCCCTCGAGTGTGTCTACCTCGGACACAACCGCGACTCGCCTGGTTACCTCTTCCTTCACCCTCCCTCTGGTCGCCTCATCCGCAGCATTGACGTTGTGTTCGATGAGACCACCCCGTACTACTCCTCCCCACCACCGGACCCCCTCCCTCCTCCCACACGTCCTCTCGCTTGGGCCGACACCGTCCTCCCTCCCCTCCTCCCTCCGGCACCTCTTCTCCCACCCCTCCCCACCCCGCTTCCGCCACCTTCATCCGACGACGTCTACGATCCCACTGCTCCTGCCTCCCCCGCACACTCCACGGCTCCCCCTCCCCCCTCCCCTTCCCACTCCCCTCCTCATCCATCACAGCAGCAGCAGCAGCAGCAGCAGCAGCAGCAGCAGCAGCAACCGCAGCGGCAGCAGGGGCAGCAGCAGCAGCTGCAGCAGCAGCAGCAGCAGCAACAGCAGCAGCAGCAGCAGCAGCAGCAGCCGCAGCAGCAGCAGCAGCAGCAGCCGCAGCAGCAGCAAGGGCAGCACCAGCAGCGGCAGCAGCAGCAGCCGCAGCAGCCACAACAGCAACAGCAGCCGCAGCAGCAGCAGCAGGGGCAGCAGCCGCAGCAGCAGCAGGGGTTCCAGCAGCACCAGCAGCAGCAGCGGCGCAGGGCAATTGCCCGCTCCTCACCCTTCCTCCTCCCTCGCATGCACACCCGCTCCCTTGACCCCATCCTTGGTGCACCGTCTCCTCCCTCCCTCAACCAACTGGAGGACTCCCATGAGGAGTTCACCATGGTCCGGCGCCACACTCCCTCTCTCACAGTACTTTCCCCTGACCTCCTCGGCGCCCTACTCCTTAGCGCGATCCCCGCTCCCACCATCTTCGTCCCCTCCACTTTCCAAGAGGCTATCACCTGCCGTGACGCCGATAAGTGGATAGCCGCCATCTTCCAGGAATGTGAAGCATTCATCCACAATAACTCCTTCATTGACGTTCCCCTCCCTCCTGACGCCAACCTGGTTGAGGGCAAGTGGATCTTTCGAGTCAAGCAGCTGCCGGGAGAAGAACCAGTCTACAAAGCCCGCTACGTTGCCAAGGGGTTCACCCAGACCTGGGCTGAGGACTACTGGTTCACGTTCGCCCCCACCGTCAAGCAGGCCACCCTACGCACCCTTCTTGACATCGGTGCAAGAGACGACATGGAGATTGACTCCATGGACGTCTCCAACGCTTTCCTGCAAGGTGAACTGCACGAACGCATCTTTCTCCGCCGACCTCCCGGGTTCCATGCTACGTTCCCCGACAACACCGTCTGGCAGCTGAAGCGACCGGTCTACGGCCTGAAGCAGGCACCACGAGAATGGCATGCGAAGCTGTCTGCTACTCTCCAGTCCCTTGGCTTCTCCCCCTCCCACTCCGACGCCAGCCTCTTCATCCGCTCTTCCCCCAGTCGCTTTTTCATCTCGGTCTACGTTGACGACATGATCCTGCTGGCGGACTCCAGGGCCGACATGGACCAGATGAAGCGGTCACTTCAGGAACGACTCAAGTGCAAGGACCTTGGTCCCCTCCAGAACTACCTCGGCATGGCTATCACCCGTGATCGATCCGCCCGCACCATCACTCTCTCCCAGTCCCACTACATCGGCCAGGTCCTGGAGAAGTTTGAGATGGCGCAGGCCAAACCAGTCTCCACCCCCCTCCCCTTCGGTCACCAACTTGCGCCACCCACCTCCCCCTCCTCCTCCTCCCGGCCCTACGCCGAGCTCGTTGGGTCGCTGATGTACGCGATGATGTGCACCCGCCCCGACCTCGCCTACCCCGTCAGCGTCCTTGCTCGGTTCGTCGGCTCTGGCCGTCACACTGAGGAACACTGGGCTGCCGCCAAGCGGGTCCTTCGCTATCTCTGCGGCACCAAGGATCACGCTCTCACACTGGGTGGATCCTCCCCTCCCCTTCTCTCGGGCTTCAGTGACTCCTCCTGGGCAGACAATCAGCCAGACCGCCGCTCCTCCCAAGGCTATGGCTTTACCCTCGGCAGCGGACTTATCAGCTGGCGTTCCACCCGCTCCTCAGCCATCGCTCTCTCTTCCTGCGAAGCTGAGCTCTATGCGGGCACCATGGCCGCTCAAGAGTCCCGCTGGCTCTGCTTTCTTCTGGCAGAGCTTGGTGCCCCCCAGCGCTGTCCCACGCTCTGGTGTGACAACGCCAGCACCATCCACCTCACCCAGGATCCAGTCTTTCATGGTCGCTCCAAGCATATCGAGCTCCGTTATTTCTTCATCCGCGACCTCGTCCGACAGAATCTTATCGCCGTCCGCAAGATCGCCACTGAAGCCAATTTGGCGGATATCTTCACCAAAGCACTTCTTCGCCCCGCGCACTCTGCTCTCCTCCGCCTCATTGGCCTCGCTCCCCCAGGCGCGCCTTGATTCAGGGGTTGCTTCTCTCCAGCCTTTCCGCATCTCTGCAGGTTAAGGGGTTGTGTTAGAATATCTCCTCTCTTGTAACCTGCATATATGCTATAGGATAGGCTAGAGATAAGCACCCAAACTTAGTTTGGGTGTACAAGCAGGGGTTACCCAATTTGTAGGTTGGAAACCCAACCTTGGTCCAATTATTGGACCCCAAGGGTTGGGATGGGTAGAATTATTGGTCCCCTCCAATAATGTTGGCCCAACTCCAACTTGGCCAACATTATTGGACCCCACCAATAATCTCCCAACCCAACTCCTTGGTTGGGGTCCAATAATGTTCACCTAGGCTAGTTTCCAACTCATCTCCTATGTAAACCCCCCATCCTTTCAATCAATCCATCAACTTCTCTTCTAACTTTTCTTCTCACAGGGCCATCCCGCCCCCTCCCCCCTCGTTTCCTCCTCCTTAAGGGCCATCCCGCCCTCCTTCCCCCCCTCGATTCCTCCTCCTAAGGGCCATCCCGCCCTCCTTCCCCCTCGCTTCCTCCTCCGAAGGGCCATCCCGCCCTCCTTCCCCCTCGCTTCCTCCTCCTAAGGGCCATCCCGCCCTCCTCCCCCCTCGTTTCCTCCTCCTTACGGGCCATCCCGCCCTCCTTCCCCCTCGCTTCCTCCTCCTCAGGGCCATCCCGCCCTCCTCCCCCCTCGTTTCCTCCTCCTTAAGGGCCATCCCGCCCTCCTTCCCCCTCGCTTCCACCTCCTAAGGGCCATCCCGCCCTCCTTCCCCCTCGCTTCCTCCTCCTAAGGGCCATCCCGCCCTCCTTCCCCCTCGCTACCTCCTCCTTAAGGGCCATCCCGCCCTCCTCCCCCCCCGTTTCCTCCTCCTTAAGGGCCATCCCGCCCTCCTTCCCCCTTGCTCCACATGTCAACGAGTCAGTGAAAGTGACTCACGTTCTCATGGTCCATGTGTCGCAGCAGCTTGATTTCCCTCAGCGTTCTCTTGGCGTCAATCCAGTTGTCAGAGGCGTTCATTATTCTCTTGATAGCTAGATAGGCAGGCCGGCAAGCAGCAGAGAGACTCACGTTCTCATGGTCCATGTGGCGCAGCAGCTTGATCATCTTAGCCCTTGCAAACATCTAACTCACGTTCTCGCGCTCCACGTGTCAGTGAGCCAGGCAGAGAGACTCACGTTCTCGTGATCCATGTGTCGCAGCAGCTTGATCTCCCTCAGCGTTCTCTTGGCGTCAATCCGATTGTCAAAGGCATTGGCGATCTTCTTAATCGCCACCTCCTCCTGAGTCTCCGAGTTGATCGCCGAGCTGCAAACACAGAGGTGTGGAGCGGAGTGGAGTGCAGTGGAATGGAGGGACTTCTGATTTGAGACGCCTCAAAGGATCTTCTTGATCGCCACCTCCTCCTGAGTCTCCGAGTTAATCGCCGAGCTGCAAACACAGGGGAGAAAGGAGGTACTCAGGGTACTTATCGGACTCCTCAAAAGAGCTTCTTGATCGTCACCTCCTCCTGAGTCTCGGAGTTGATTGCCGAGCTGCAAACACCCGGGAAGGGTGGCAAGCAAATGACGGAAAATATTGAAGCACTGCAAAGTGATGAGAACCAAGAAACGGGAATGGGATGAGGCTGGTGCATGAAAGGAGACGAGAACTGGCGGCAAATAAGGAAAGTCGGCCATAAATCAAGCAGTAGACGAACGTTAAGAAAGAACCACTCAACCATTTCCAATCCCGAAAATTTTCTTTTGTTTTATTGCTATCGTGTCATGTCAGAAGGCGAAGAGCACTTACCACACAATTCCGTAGGCCCCACGACCGATTGGCCGAATAGGCGGCACATACTTCGCAGTAACCTCGAACATATTCCCGTAAATGTTATACTGCGTATACGCCCCGTCATACGTCGGAACTCCCACGATTTCCGGCTCTAGCGGCTCGCCAGACCCGTCGTCGTCGTATCCGTCTTCTCCGGGATCGCCATCCCCGTCACGGAGGTCTTCGCTATACTCTACAGCTCCACCGTCGTCGTCCCGCTTTCCGTCCATGTGATGGTGATATTCTTCCGTCATACTCGTTCTATACTGGCGTGCGACTGCTACCAGAACAAGCTTTAATTATAACGATTGCGCGCTAAGGGTAGGAATTAAGAAATTGCTGTCAGGCAAACGAAAGGCAATAAATTGCGAATTAACGTCTAGCAGACACCACAGGAAGTCTAATTAGTCAGGTACGCACAGTGACACGGTCGGACAGTAGGGCGAAACGGTCACGCAAAAGCTAGGTCGGATGCGAATAGTAGAAACCACGGCTGCAGGATACGGACCCTACGACATTCTGCACTTGATTTTATCACGCATACTGAGACAGGAAATGGATCACCAGCTAGTCGCGCACTCGCAGAGCCTGTCGCACGACGCGATCGCACTACCTTGTCGCACGACCTAATCACATGACCTAATCGCACAGTCTAAAATTCAGCACTGGTCACGGGACCAACGATACTGATCCAAGCAAGGACAATGAGAACCAATGCGCTAGGAAATGCGATCAATACTGTTTTTAGGAGAACTGCAGTGCGTGTGACTACGGGCGCAGGAGAAACAGACTCAGGGCGTGTCTCACGCGTAAGCAAAACCAGGTCACGTGAATGGTACAATGCGATGGAAAACAAATCAGAGAGGTTACTGTGCAATTGGATGCGGTGCATTCACTTGTCCACAGAACATCTGGGTCTGGTCCCCTAACCTCCTGAGGGGGCGGTGCGTACCGAGGGAATGGAATGGCATCGTAGTTGAGATGTCATTATACAGGGTGGAATGCGCTAATTAAAGTCTAGCCAGCGTTACTATACGGTAACTCCTGGTTTTTTTTTCCTGACTGGGCAACATTGCCGGTCAGGCAACAGCAGCCGCTGGAAGCTGACAGAACAGAACTCGAAGGCCTATTTTAGGGCGTGTCCAGCGCGTACATTTTGGGGAATTTAGTACTCCTCACGTCTCGCAGTTCAAAAAAAACTCATTGTACCTAAAAACGAATCCGGGGTGGGTCGAGTCCATAATGGCCGCGTGTTCTAGTGCGCGGACTAACCCGTCCCCACGCAATTTTCTACAGTGCTCCGATCGCATGGAAACCGCGTGAACTTGTTCCCTCGTCAATAGTCGCGCACGAATCCTCGCGCAAGCGAAACATTTCGTTCTTTGGCGAACACTTCTGTGGTGGGCAGGACGCAAATCTGTACCCTTGTACGTGCAGGGGGCGTGTCGTCTCGTGGACAAAAACTGATCGTGTCTAAAATTTCTGTAAAAGACAGTGTTACAGCCCTAAATGTGGTAACTGAGAGGGTTTATGAGCTGTAAATGTACGCGCTGGACACCCAATTAGCTGACTGAACTCAAACTGACGATGACTGACCGACGCCAGCCGAACCAACCTCTGGCCCTCAAGCCTGTTCCTTGTTTGGCTGAAAACCGCCTGGCCTGGGGGCTTTGCGGCGCTCGACTACTTTCACGAACAGGGCAACGAGCGGGAAAGAAGATTTCTTTTGGAGTGAAGGCGGAGGGGAGCGAAATGGGGCGGAGGCGTGCGCTCCGCCACCACAGGAGAAAAGTGCAGCGGGGGAATCTTGACCACATGAGTAAATCTGATTGAGATTGCTATTGGTCATCACATAAACCATTACCTCAGAGAATACATTATGCCTTTATTGAGAACAATACAAAACAAGAGGCGACGCAATCGTCTTAAGGTTGCGAAGCATTTTGCAAAAGCACTTTAACCTGTAAAGCTAATAGAGTGTACAAAAACTTGTTCCAACAATCGTTGTTTCCAACAACCGCTAACGGTGCGTTCCGGAATTGAACTGGAAACCTTTCGGTTTGCAGCCGATTTACTTACGACTGCGCCACAATCGACACAAACGTATGCCTTATTAAAATATATTGTACGATTTTTGCGCGACGAAATTTTAACCACTCCAGAGTTTCAACGTCCCTTTTTTCTTTGTCTCTCCCACTCGTGAGTGGAGCCCAGTTCTTCATATCAGCCCCATACTCACGCTCCATCTGCTGCTATCTCCTAAAGGTGAGAAGACTTGTAGTGTTTAATTAGAGACTATGTTAGAAGATTACGAGCTAGACTAAGATCTTCGCTTACTTCCGCATTTGGTCGTTTTAACTAGCAGTTAAAGCCTAAGTTCCAGGCCTTTGTAAAGACGTCAGCTTTCCTTAGGTCGTTAATAAGGCTGCATGTTTCTTTTCATTCCCTATCGCGCTCTTACCTCTCGTCTTACCTTGCGATGTCTCTATTTATATGCTCCAGTTATTGTTTTTCCCTTTTTATTTTTTCCTTCCAGTCCCATGTTCGTTCCTTTCTGATCTCGGTCATTCCGTTTATTGAGATTTTATCGAGCTGTTCCTTCCTTTCAAAAGATTCCGCATCTAGTGACGTTTGTCTTGGTTTCCGTTACCTTTTTTCTGTATCCTTTCTTCACCTTCCTTCTCCTTCTTCTGACTCTTCGATGAGCCTCTCCTTCTATTCGTAGGTGCATTGTTTTTCCGTTCTTAAAATCTGTTTTTGTCCCCATATGCTACATAGTTTTTTTTTTTTCGAAAACGTAGTTTATTGAACTCTCTTTCTATCCCTCGTTCGTTCTCTCGTTCGTTCTCTCTCGTTCTCTCTTTCTCGTTCTCTCTCTCTGTCTCTTTCTCTCGTTCTCTCTCGCTCTCTCGTTTTCTCTCTCCGTTCTCTCTCTGCCGTTCTCTCTCCCCATTCTCAATCTCCCGTTCTCACTCTCCCGTTCTCTATATCCCGTTCTCTCTTGCTCTCTCTCTCTCTCTCTCTCTCTCTCTCTCTCTCTCTCTCTCTCTCTCTCTCTTCTCTCTCTCTCTCTTCTCTCTCTCTCGTTCTCTCTTTAGTTCTCTCTCTCTCTCTCTCTCTCTCTCTCTCTCTATCTCTCTCTCTCTCTCTCTCTCTCTCTCTCTCTCTCTCTCTCTCTCTCTCTCTCTCTCTCTCTCTCTCTCTCTCTCTCTCGTTCTCTCTTTTCCGTTCTGTCTCGTTCTCTCTTTCTCGTTCTCTCTTTTCCATTCTGTCTCGTTCTCTCGTTCTCGTTCTCTCGTTCTTTTTCTCTCACGTTTTTTCTCGTTTCCTTTCCATTCTTTTTAACAGTCATTGTTTTTTTTGTAAGTCTGCTTTCTGCCTCCTCATTTCCTGGTGTTACTTAGATCGTTTTCCCTTTATTTCAGATCGTGTTATTTGAGTCGTGTTTCATTTTTTCTCTTGATTTTTATAACCGTTAATAGGATTTTTTTATAACCCATCGCAATAGGTTAATCGCCTTTTTACAAGTCGTTTTCTATATTTAGCTCGCTTGTCCTAAGCCTTCCTCTTATTTGCTGTTTATTGGACGAGAATCTAAACTTCCCCTCCCTCCCCTCTCTTTCCCTCCACCACCCTTCCCTCCCCTCCTTCCCCCCCCCCCGAGGCTTTGCTATTTCCTGCGCGCTGCCAGGATTTCTTATGAAGTGTAACGATAATAGTCGTGACTTGTAGAGCTGTATTGTATTGATAAATCTTGTTTGCATTTGTTTTATTGTTTTTACTGTTTTTTTGCATTGCCCTTTTGTGTGTGAACGGATTCTGTCTGAGTTGTGTGCATATCGGTATGTGTGTCAGTGCGTGTCTTTGTGTGTGCACACTCATCCGTATGCATCTGTCATCGCATTAACAATGCGGATCTGTGGGTTTTAAAAAGATGGTCAAACCATCATTTCCGAGAAGGTTCTTTGCGCACTCAGTGAGTGTGTCCACTTGAACTGGATTTGATGGATCTTGATCATTTTTTTAATTTACACAGATTGTGTTGTTTCATGTAACGGTTGGATGATTCAGAAACTATGCTATTGAGCTCCCCCCCATGCTAGGCAGGGGATGCGGTAGCATAGAGCCTGTGTCAATTAACTGTTACGCATTTCCATCATGCTAAGCATTCATTTAACTACGACTTAAAGCTGGAAAATATACTATGGTATATTTACCACAGTAGCATATGCATTATATTTATGCATTGTTCATTCAATATTTGGTTCACCATATCCATCATTATACTTCATCTATGCATAACATGGTACGGAATAGACAGTCATGCGTTCACAGTAACATCATTTCGGCAACACATGTTCATGTTTGATCCATACAATATACGGGTAGGTTCAGTCGAGGCAAACTAGGAAATGAGAACGAATGTGGCGAATTGCCGAGGCAAATACATACCGTAGCAGTCAATCACTTACCATCAGGCCCTCAGATATCAGGATAAATTATCCTGATTACCCTGATTTCAGGATAGAGTTGGGGTGCCAGTGCTGGAAAATCAGGATAACATAAAATACAGCCCTGAACTTTCAGTATTAGGCTGTATCCTACACTGAGGAATTAAGATAAAGGTGTACCTGTAACACTGAACAGTAGCACAGAAATGTCTTATAACAAGAAAATCACGTTCGTTCACACAGTCCGCTATGCGCGACGCAAGCGGGAATTGATCTCCATACTTCCACTGTACCAATTCCGGATTCAAACAACTAGGCCATGACCGAGCTGCAAGGGAAACCGTGCTGAAATTTCATTTCTTAATCATAAAACTTAATTTAGCCCTGAAAAATCAGCCCTGATAGGTCAGGGTACCCTGAAACCAATCTGAGGCCCTGCTTACCATAACTACCGTTCACTACATTTATTTTTATTTTTTTTCTTCGAGGTTGAAAAAAAAATGTACATAACGATCGTAATAGGTTGCTTCGCAACCCAAAACCAGTGAATAAAATCGCCATCAAAACGCCTCCAATATGTCGTCACTTGTCATTAAATTTGAGATAAGGCACAAAGTGTTAATCGGCACTCATTAAGAGGGGGCTGAAGTAAAAAGTGGGGCTCTACTAGAGCTCGAGGGTGAAGTGGCAGGGGAACTGGGAGGGGAAGGCATGGCTGTCATATGGAAGGGAAGTGGAGGAACCAGCATGAGCGATTTAGTGTTTGGAGCCACGTTTCCCATGTGGCCCCTCCCTCCCCACAT